TTGGTCTTTCAATACAATTAATTACGAATTTATATATAAAATTATTATTAATCTAACATCTAAACTTTGATTGTTTTTGACGGGTTTTTATATATTTAAAAAGATTATGTTCTATGTCAATAACATAGAGATTAACCTTTCAATTTCCAAAATTTTTCTGACGTAAGTTTCGTGGGACGAGCAGTTGATTCTTAAAGATTTTCTGTATACTATATGTTTGTGTTTGCGTGCGTGTGTGTGTGTGTGTGCGCGCGCGCGTGTGTGTGTACATTTATTATACATTTATTCGTCTCAAAAAGATCATAAGTAGAAAAATGCATAAAAATTATCAAAATTTTTTGACAGAATTATTCTAAAAAGATTGTTTTTGAGTAAACGGCTCGTCTCGTTTAAAAATCTAAGATTTGATACATCTTAATTTTGTATCTTACTTACCTTACTTGACTGCTGTTCTAAGTATTGTTTTCTTTTTTCTATAAAAGTACATCTTGCACCAATAGTACATATTAATTCCATTAATATTTCCTCTGAAATATTTAACAATAATGATGGGCTTATTTCTTGTTCTACAAAAATAAAATTAATTATTGTTATACTATATCTTACTTTTATGACAGTAAATGTTTACAAACATTTATAAATGCATACCCAGAAATTTAGATGACCACTTTTCAAGACCCCATTGTTTTAAAGTTTTAACAATAAATTCTTCGTCACTCATTATAAACAACGTTGCGTATACTAAAAAAAAATCAATATTATATATATAAAAGGACATTCGTAACGCTTAGCTCAACTTTATTTGTACTGCACAGGAATAACTTAAAGCAACTTCATGTTATACCATGTAGCAGCAATAAAGACAAAATGCTGCTATGAACACAAAACATCGCAAAACTGAATGTAATCGAAATATTCATAAAATCTATTAGAAACAAATCTATGAAGAATGCAATAGATCTAAAAGCCGAACACATTTCTTTATGGCGAAAACTTGAGTCGTAACTTGTCCCCATAATCATTTACAGATTTAGGGCCTGAGCACAATAGAGGAACAGGAATTAGATATTAAGATTTTAACCTATCAGAAACTGATTACATCGGAATACACGGTTTCTGATAGGTTGAAATCTTAATATCTAATTCTTGTTCCTCTATTGTGCGCAGGCCCTTATACTTACGAAGATAATATAGCTTTATCCATACACGAAATTTCTATACAATTTTCACACTATAAGTATCACTGAGATAACAAATAAGGGTGCTGTCCCATGGCACAGATTTTCCGCGTAACGCGTATCGCGTAACCAATCGGGGACCAGTACGCGTTTTTCGAGTTGTTACGCCTTTACTACGCGCTTTTTGTTACGTGGAATTTAATTCCGTATGTCCCATAGTACGCAAGAAAGTTGGGTGACGTACGCAATAACCAATCATATCTTTATATTCTTTTAGATTGTTCCAACAGAAATACCAAAGATGGCAGCTTATTGGTTACGTGAGTTTGTAATACGCTTCATGGGACATATAGAAATGAGTTTTGCGTAGCACACGCACGTTCATTTATCTACATACGTTCATTGTATACAATTTCTGAAAAAATTGCAGTTTCTCTAGTTGAAATTTTCTCAGTGAAATTTCTAAAAAATGAATTCTGATGTATTAGCACTATTCATTATTGCTTTCCGCAAAAAAATATCAGAAACACTTGATCGTACAGTAACAGAGATTAAATTAAAGAAACTGGTGAGAGCTCTATATTTATTAAATAAACGTAAAAATAAAAATAAAGTGCGAAAACGAAAATATTGGGTTTATCCGATTTTTTCAACCGATAACAGAAAAAGACATGGAGCGAGTAATAATCTCATAAGAGAGTTACATTTTTATAATGATGAGAAATTCATCAATTACTTTCGTATGACTCCAGAGGTTTTTGACAAATTATTTACTGCTGTCGATCCATACATTACAAAACAAGAATGTGTTCGAGAAGCAATACCTCCAAATATACGATTAGAAATATGTCTATGTTACTTGGCTTCAGGAGATAGCATGAGATCTCTTTCCTATGCATTTCGAGTAGCACATAATACAATTTCAAAAATTGTGTCCGAAACGTGCGAAGCAATTTGGATTGCATTAAAGGATACAGTTTTTGAACAACCCAGCAAAGATTTGTGGAAAAAAATAGCAAACGAATTTGAAGAAAATTGGGATTTTCCAAACTGTATAGGAGCAATAGACGGAAAACATGTCATAATCCAGGTATACATGTGAATTTCTAAAGTTAAATTAATTTTATTATATATAATATTAAAAGATTAATTTTTTCTTATAATTTTGTATAGGCTCCTCCAAATAGTGGATCTTCATTTTATAACTACAAGGGTCAACACAGTATCAATTTGCTTGCTGTTTGTGATGCAAAATATCGGTTTACTTTCATAGATATTGGAGCGGAAGGACGGCAGAGTGATGGTGGAGTGTTTCGAAATAGCAAATTATATACTTCACTGGAAGAAAATTCTCTACAAATACCATTACCAGTAGTAGTTGGAACCAATGGTCCCATTTTGCCATATGTGATTGTGGCAGATGAAGCTTTTGCTTTGAAAAATTACATGATGCGACCATATTCTCGAAGCTTGCACCTTAATCGAAGGAAAAAAATCTTTAATTACAGACTGAGTCGAGCAAGGCGTGTCATAGAAAGTGCGTTCGGAATACTAGTAGCAAGATGGAGAATTTATAGAAAACCAATTATAGCATCTCTTGAACTAACTAAAAAAATTGTGCAAGCAACATGTTGCTTACATAATTTTATAATTAATAATGAAAGTAAAGATCGGTATTATTCTACTTTACAACCAGCCAATCTAGTTGTATCTGAAGGTCTTCAAGATATCGCAAATAAAATAGAATCGGCTTGCCAAAATGTGACAGATATAAGAAATAAATTTGCTATGTATTTTGAAGGAGAAGGTGCAATTCCGTGGCAATGGGAAAAAGCATTACTCAATGACTTTTGACATTTCTATAAAAATAAGTTTCATTATGTTTGTAACACAAATTCAGAGAATTCAGACAATAAATAAAGTATGAGTATGTAAAAGAAATTTACAAGATTTAAATATAGACTAAATTTATAAACATAAAAAGTAAAAATACAATATTCAATAAACTGTATAATTTATGTAATGATAAAATAAAAATAAACTTTTATTGTCTCAACGTATGTTACACATGGCGTATATGTATATATTTATTTATAGTATATTTTTATATTATATGTATGTAAAATTTAACACAAACAAAACATTTAGTATTTTCAAAATAATCTTTAAACATTAATCTTGAACATAAAATCTTCATATTTCATATTATAAAAACTTAATTTTTAAATATATTAAAAAGAATTAATTTTTTGCCTTTCTCTTTTAAACATAATTATCTCATGTTAAATTAACTGTAAAATATACTATATCTATTCTCTCAGGTACACAAATAGTTAATATCACACTATATGTACAAACTCATGAGTAGTACTGTGTAAACTTTGAGATCATGCTGTAATAATTAAGAAGATAAACACTAACTTAATCAATATAAACAATCAAGAGCATACAAGCAACCACAAGTTATTTGTACCGAAAGTCATGTATTTATAACATAATGTTAACGATTAAAATTCTATAAATAATGATTATAAATATCGGTTTCGGCCGATATTTCGCCCTCTTCAGTATGTACCAAATAAAAAAATTTAAAGCATACGAATATTAAATACAATAAAATTAAATATATAACTTATAAATTAATTGTTTTTATGTAAGCAATTATTGTACATAAGAACAATTAATTTATAAGTTATATAATTATTTTATACTTTTGTGTTTTACATTTTTGAATTATTGTTAAGTTCGAAATCAATGCGTTTCTAATGACAACTGTGTAATACTGACTTCCTTAATTTAATTTTATTGTATTTAATACCCGTAATTCTTTAAATTTTTTCATTTGGAACATACTGAAGA